AAGTACCGCATTCCTAGACCAACGCGTCGTCAATGATGAGTTGATCGATGACAAGCTATGACGGACGCCCTGAGAGATATAATATAATTTACGACACCATAGCTTTCAGCTTCAGCCTCGAACAAAGTTGCCCCAGTAATTGCAACTCCAAGTTCGGCGCCGACGAAATGCCTCATCAACAGATTGCCACATATTACAACAGAAGATGATCTACAGCGACAACTGGTACCGGGATGCAAGGCATAACAACACTGTAGCTCGCGCAGTAGCGCCCAACACAAACAGCTAGCTTGACGGTACCCAACGCTGAAGGTCGAACGACTGTCACACATGCGTCCCCGCCTGCGATGCCATCAACGAGCCGGACGCAAAGCTGATTGGCCCAAACTCGAGAGTCGACGTGTCGTGGGATGCTCGGGACGCTCGGGCGAAACTTTCTCGGGTGTGAATTATTAGTCGCGAGGCCTGGTCATCATTCAACAATTAATCCATGAAATGGGCATATTCAGAACGGAACTTACGCAGAAGGAGTACAGGGCTATAATTATCCTGTAGCAACGTGACGAAGTCAAGCATACGAGTAAGAGAATAAACTAGAGACATACGGAGCAGTGACATTGGCAATAGTCGAGCGGTAGAGAGTGATGAGAGGAGCGGTGGAAACCAATATCCCTAGGTTCAGTAGGCATACAGTTAGTTCTCTATCTGAAGCACACGACGCTTTCGTGGGCTTACCAAACATGCTGCGAGTCAAGGTCACAATCTTTCCCGATGCATCAAGGGAATGTAGAGACTACACTTACGGGAAATAGAACAGCACACTATCTCTGACCAACGTTCGCGTCATTGGCTGGATGTTCCGAATTTCTTCCTTGATATTGGAGATCGTGAAATCTCCGACATCTTTAAACCTTGATTTCATACTCGAGTAGAGCAGGCGGAGTGTGAGTCCAAGGAAAATTGCTACAGTAAAATATAAGATCCTTGATAGCTTTTGAATAGAAGGACCAACTGGCAACCAGAATTGCTGTGATGCTTTTGGTTCGTTAGTTGTATGTGGTGGTATAATGGTGAAGAGTTCCTACCAGGCCGGGAGTGACAGCGCAGCATTTGCTTCTTCGCTAAGCATGCAACCTTGCCAAGGAATTCCGGCTGGAGGCTCTATCACCCTTTTCTCCATCCATGCAGCCAGTATAGCACATACGGTAATCTCGATCTAAAAAGGTTGCGAATTACTGTGAGGACCACAAGTGAAGATTTCTGATGCAAGATTTACGAACCATAAATTCAACTGGTTAAAAGAACGTGGAAGATCAAGATGCGCATGGGTAGGACAAATCATAGCTCACTGATGACTACAGAGGCAAGAAAAACTTGGTGTTTTCGTAATCCCGTCGTGCCATGAAAGATTTGGTACATCGCATTAAGACGGATCACCAGGATAACGTTGACGAGCGTTGAGTACAGTACTTCCCCTCCACTAGTAATAGAATAAGCCAATGAGTGCAAAGTTGTGCATGGGAGCTCACAGAGCGAAGATGTAGTAGTAAACCTTGCAGCTTTCGGTGTGAAATGGTTAGTATCTACAAATCCGCCCCATATGAATGCGTACAACTGATAATAACTTCAGTCAACGAAGAAATATGAACTCGTTGATTCACATACAGGTACAGAGAAGCCCTGGTGACTGTTCACTGGTATTCCGTTGAGTATGAGGACACAGCGCGAGAAAGACGGTGGACACCGTACCAGCAAAAAAGCCCCTGCGTAAGTTGTTATGACAGGAAAATGGCTGGGAGAGGAATGAGACTTACACAAGGTAAAGAGGAGCATAGTAACGGCCAAAAATAAAAAGTGTTTGAACAAGCATGCGGCGAGCTCTGCCACGCCAAGACAAGTGCTCCTCTTTAGCGTTGTGGTAATACAACCAGATAAGGGGAATCTACAAGAAAATGCTGCGTCAGGATGCAAGTGTTGCCAAATATTGAGGCGCAATGTAGCACACCTCTCTATCGAGGTTGGTTAGGATGTCATAGACGAGGAATGCCACACAAGATACTATCGCGGAGTCCAGGGTAAGTGCTTGTAAGTGTGGGATCAAATGAGTAGCAGTGGATTTCATTTACTCGTAACATAGTTGAGGAGACGAATCTGTTGGAGGTTGTCGTACAAGGTTTGAAGCTCGGCTTCTACTGTGGACATGATGGACCTGCAGGTGGAGGTGCAGCTGACCACGGGATGAATCGATGGAACCTATAATGCATCTTCGAAATCGGGCCAGGCAAGCACGGCAGTATTTAACCTTCGGCCATCATATGCATCACCGGATTGCATACATAATCAATGGTATCGCCTTTTACAACATAGATATGGGCACATGACAGTCACACCCGCTCCCCACTCTTCGCTGTTCATGTGAAGGGTAGATACTAGTACCGTAGCGTGTAGATACGGACCAGCACAATGATTCGATTTGTATCATTGTGGTCCACATCAAGCGCACCCTACGTACTTAGTTAACCGAGATCGTGCACTAAGTATCAGGATGCAAGTCGTCGAGCTTGATTATTACTTGTTATCGACGAGGCTATGCGACGCACAGCCTAGTACGTACGGAACTGATGGCAGTCTTCCGAGGAACATGCTCGGTTATGGTATAGTACATATGTAGTCCTGAAAGTTTGCAGTGGCTCGTCATTCATTAACATTGTTGTGCTGAAACAAATCTTGTTGACGGAAATGGGGAATAAAAGGGAGCAAAGCAAGTCTCGATACACTTACCAAGGCACCTAATACTCACCCCGAACCCAATTCTTGACGTGCTTCACAATCTCACGGCAGATAAAAGGCTCCAGCGGAAGGTATTCTTGGATTTGAAATTCCATTGCCGGAGTCGGATTTGCTGCCGTGCGGTCGCTTCCCTCTTGCGAAATATCATTCGCACTTCCCGTGATGGCCTGATGTCCGCTGCGGCGCCCATATTCCAAAGTGGAAACTTTCCGAAGAAGAATGTCTTGGGTGTTGCACGTGTTAGTGGCTACCTATAGGTGCGCATGCTGACTTGGTGTAGTGCGAAACTTGAAGCTACTCTGAGACGGTCCAAGCAGGAGAATAGGGTACTTACATAACGAGTACTGAGCAAAGTTGCGAGGATTTGGACGACGGGCCGGAATGGACCACGATGTGTGCCCAAAAGGATCCCCAGCCTTCGTGTTATCGATCCGAACACGTAAGCGCCGTCCCATCGATTGGAGATCGAGTCGGTCACGGAAGCGAAAAGGTCGTTTCGACTACATATAAGTACCATCTAACGTTCCCGATGGTATGGACCTAACTGGGAACCCACATCAGTCGCTGGTTCGTAATCCAAGCAGTTGACCCAGCAGTTTCCCTCCTTGAAAATCGAAACGAACCTGTATCTCGCTATCATTACTTCCAGTGGTTCTGGTTGTCGTAATCAGGGAGTTGGAAGCCCTCCGGGCGCTCCTGGACGCACGGAGAGAAAACACGTGATATATTTTTTCTGGGAATTTCAGCAACATATTGTTAAAGTAATATCGGGCACTTGTACTTCTATAGAGGGAGTGTTAGTTGATGAGGGTTTGTTTATGAAAGTGACAGCAATTGTTTGTGGAAGATGGGTTCAGTTGGAGCAGTCTGCAAAAGTGTGTATTGAAAGTAATACAGAACATCAATGTTTATAGGAGTGGGAGAATGTCTAGGCAAGTGTTGGCACAAATGTCTATAAAAGTGTGTTGGAGAACAGTGTAGGATAAGGAAAAAATGGTCTGTGATCAGTCTAATATTCCACAAGGCTAATTACACAGGGTGGAAGGTGACATGACTGCTGGATGGTATGGGAGATTGTTATACATCTGTATATGGGCAGAGAAGAGTGTACGAGCAGTCTTCAATATGATGTGGAGGATGAGTGGGACACATAATGAAGTAGAGTCACAAGCCAGGCCACCGAGCGTCCAAATGGCTTCGACGACACCCAAGCGGTAGAATATGGCAATGGGCTGTGGGCAACGATGACGAACTGTTGTGAAGTCGAGAGATAACCAACCACGATCATTTAGGCCTTAGAGATCAGATCTCTCCAAGCAAAGCCTGGGAGGGGATGGTTTCTTCACAGGAAATGAAGCTGTTCCACAAACACACAGACTGAGCTAGTGCAGCATACCTGACCCATCACTGAAATCATTCTGCATGGTATCACACTCAAAAGTTTACTCTCGTCATACAAACTCATAACTGATGGTACCATCATATTCGTTGCCAACTCCAGCAATGTCAATATACAAGCAGCACATACCACTGCCCATGACATGTGCACGTATGACTATGTGTTTCCAAGTACACCAGCATGCAAAACTGTTGGCTCCTGGTTAACCATAGGCAGATGCAAATAGTGTATTCTATAATTGAGAATGCAGTTAAAAAGGGAATTCTGTCTGGTGGTTACAATGGACTCTGCTCACCAAATTTTGGTTGTTGCTGGTTGTCATCGCTGGTTGAAGTAGAATACAAGGTTTGCTCTGTGACATTGGATGGGTGAGCTCGGCAAATAATATGTTTCAATGTAGCTGAGCTGTAGGTTGAAGAATAGTTGGCCCACAGATTATTATGCCACTGCCTCAGGTTGTAATGCATGAATTCATTGTCTATTCACTCATTTGGCTGCTGCTACAGATCACATATGAATGCATTATGGTATGAGGACCACGTGTCACATGACAAGCTGACAAACAGTGACAACTCTCAACTGGACATCATGCTGAGCAGAGTACATGCTGGGGAGGAGATCGAGGATGCACTCTCCAACAGCTGTGATCACACATGTGGAGTTGGATGCTCAAACATTGGGTGATGTATAATGAAAGTGGGTGTAATGCTCAATGTAGACAATGTCCTTTAATCATATGGTACTAAAATGTATGGAGTGTTGTGCTATGGACAACAGGAGATTGAACGGGGTACAGTACAGATGTAAACCATCAAACCATTTCTTGAAGGAGATCCTCAGCAGCCCCAAGACCAGCTGAAGTGATGGGCCCAGTGAAAAACCTGTCATCTGTGTGCACATCTTCCATGAATGGGTTGTGAATGACATGGACCTTGTAGTGATCTTTGTCCTTGGCAATTGTTTCTGAGATGTAGCTAGAGCATAGGCAGGTGTTAGCATGACTGCTGTGTGTATGATGGCTTGTATTCTCACCTGTTCCAGTTGGGTGTGGTCCATGAATTGCCCCATTGCTTTCTGCATGCATCAAACCATTTTTCCACTTGTGATCAGAAATCCTCTCCCCTGGGGACACAGCCACCATGCTTTCACTTTTTCCTTTGAGGCTCTTGGGCAGAGTGGTGCTGTGAGCCTGAGTCATCTTCCATTGGTGGTGAATCGTCCTCAACATCTTCCTCACAGTCAAGGAGCTCAGGATTTTCATAAGCAAAATGGCACTAACACACAAAATTAATACAAAAATTGTAATTGGGATGTACCACTTACAAGTATAGCAAGTCGAGCAGTGCATGCTGGTGTGAGGCCCGAAGTGGGGCCACCAATTTTGTACTGCTGTGCACTTTCAAACACAAAATCAGAGAGTGTGCATGTTCCATCTCCAATGACATTATCTCGCAGCTATGACAAATGAATCAATCAGGATGGAGTTGGAAACAGAAAATGAGACATACCAGCTCTTGGAATGAATTATGAATGCTTGAGCATCACTGCTTGATATATGCCATTAGGATTTTCTCTCGTGCTGGGTGTTACACTTCTGTCAGGGGTCCTTCCTTTTTCGACTTCTCGTGGTCACATGCATCATGTGCCTCGTCGTGTCCCTCGTAATTGTTGCCATTCTAGGGGCTCAGATGCTCCAGGGAATGTTCGGATCTCCATCTGTCAAGGTATTTCCAATACCTGTTGAGACCACATTGCCACTGTGATCTGGTATTCCACCACCCTCTCTGATGGACAACTTGTTCATTTCTTGTTCTGATGACTTGCCTTTGACTTGTTTATGTTGCTTACATGTTGTACTATAGCTCCAGTGTCAGGCTCCTTGCTGCGCATTTGATTGTGCCAGCCAGTACAGCCTTTGTTGTCCCCCCTACCCCATCATTGACACCATATGACTCCTACTTATTTCATTGACGAGATTGTTGACTGCTGCAGATATGCATCGCAATGTGTCACTCGCAACTGTTACGGTACTCGTACTTAGGGGTATATAATCCTACATACTTCGTCCTGTATTGGCAGTTTTTCAATAGCTTGCAACTGAGCTTCATCCCTTCGCTCTTGTCCTCATTCTCTCTCCACATGAACAACCTTAGGGACTTGCCAGTAGACAGAACCTCTGTCGGACAACTGTGATAACTCAGCCATAGGGGTTACGACAAGTTCAGCCCATAGACTCCCACCTTGTGCACTTCATGCCTGTTCCATTTGAAGAAGTCACCATGCTTGGGCATAACAAAATTGAAAAACTCAATGCAGCTTTTGGGACTCATCGACCTCTTCGCGAAAGTCTACTTGTCCCTGGTTACTGAACTTCAACAAACCAACTACTATCATTCAAGACTCATTGGTTTCCCTCAGTGCAAAAACTAACTTGCCTTTCTCCTCCTACTTCTCGACTTGGAAAACAAGTTGATAACAAAATTGAGAAGCACCCTTCTACCCTTAATCAGATCCACCACTCTACAGGCAGCCACTAGGCTTTAATAGATCGCCTCCCTAGAGCCCGTGTTTGTGCCTCCCTATGTGTAAAGCCACTCGCACACCATCTTCCCTACACTGACAGGTTTCCTTTGAGAAATAAATCCTCCCTCAGCCTTCGTTATCACTTTGCATTAAAGTGTCTAACCCACAGAAGTCGAGACCACCTGTCCCTCCTCACACAAATCTGCTAGGACTTGGTAGGAATCCTCCACTACCTCCTATCCCTCTAGGAAGATTAGGACCCTCAGCTACTGCCTCTAACCCCTGTTTATCTTATCTATCCCGTTTCAGGGATTTGGAAGTCATGCTTAGTTCAGAAGAAGAAGACGATCAGAAGTCTGATACTTCTTTTGAATCAGTCCTCAGAGAAGAACAAGAAGCATGCAAATCACCCATTATGTCTATGACAGTTGGTCATGGAGAGTCACCCCCAGAAATGCCGATGAAGGTATATTCTGATGAGGAGGTGCAGAAGAAGTTGGAAGAACAACATCGCTTGTTAGCAGAAGACTGGTGCAAGATTGCTGGTGGCCAAAGCAGCGACCCATTTCCAACAGGAACACCTACTGACTCAGCATTGTGAGCTTGGTATGCCAGGAACTTCAGAAAGGTAATTCCCCCAGAGGACCCCATTGGAGGGTTCAGTAAGGGTAAGGCCCCAGCCGATCCTGACGACTCGTACAATTGCTGCCCACCCAATGGAGGAAGGGAGTTTAATGTCGGACATCCCGGAGAATATGATGGAAGCCACAATGAGCTTCAGACCTGGGTGACGCAGGTCAAAGGTTATTTGAACCTGAACAAGCATGTATACAACACAGAAGCCCTCAAGATTTCGTTTGCGCTCACGTATATGATGAAAGGTGCAGTGGTTTCCTTCGCTGAAAACTATCAAAACAAGAATAAGCTTTTAGACGGAACTATTTACTACACCAACACTTTCCAGAAGTTCGTGGAACATCTCAAAGCCACTTTCGAATCCGGTGACCAAACCGCTCTCACAATTTTATGCCTATCTGACATCACTCAAGGCAAACGAGATCTTGAAGCTTACATCGTGGAGTTTATGGGGCTTGTAAACAAGGCTCAACTCAAAGAAGAATCACGTGAAGCAGGGATCTTCTTCGGAAAAGGATTGAATAAAGAGTATTGTGATTGGGTTCTTAATTCAGGATGCACCCCTTCCACGGTCATTGAGTGGATACAGTGCATGGGAGAAGCAAGAACCACCATCGTGACGAAACATATCCTAGAAGGGAAGGAATCTCAGTATGAAAGAAAGTTCATTCATTACTGCGGAGGTTCCTGAGATCCTGATGTGATGGACGTCGACAAATGCAAATGGAACGTTAGACATTCAAACTCCGATGTTACTTGTTTCGAATGTGGAGCAAAGGGTCACTACAAATGTGACTGCAAATCCCCTAAGAGCAAGAACCTTCCCGGTATAAGGGTCATGTTGTCCCCCGACGGAACAAAGACCACTTATATGGGAGATTGGTTGGCAACAGCCGAAGAGAGAAAGGCTCATGGGGTGGATTTTTAGAAGGGACCACCGAAGCTCCTAAGGAGGGTCCCATTTCAATTTTGTCTTCTAAATGTACTATAGGTGATGAATCAAATATGCATATTGGATCGCCACTGGGAAGAGTAGTATTGCTGGACTATGGAGCAACAATAATGGCCTGTGTCGACTCAGGTGCCGAGGTTTTGCTCATCTCGGAGCGAATCATACAATGACTTTGGATACCAATGTATCGCATCAAGTCCAAGTTCAAGACCACTTCCTTCACTGGAAAGGATGTTGAATGGGTCACACAAAAGGTTTCCATTCAGGTTATTGTCAAGAACCGCATCATCCGCATCAAGTGCTACGTCAGCCCGTTGGTCGGAAAGGAGCACATTCTTTTAGGAATGCCTTTCCTATGGGAGTTCAAGCCAAGAATGAACTGGGAGACTAGTAAGATATCCTGCTGGGATGACGGTTTTGTACCCACTAGGGAAACCGACATATACATCAAAGACCAGGTTCCATCCTATGAAGGATATGCAGTAAAATTCAATGAAGATGGTTCTGTAAAGGAACCGGTAAGTAGTGTTAACAAAACTACTTTGTCCACAGAACTCGAGGCTGCCTTATCCTTGACTAAGGAGGAAGTTAAACTTCTGAAGGAGTATCAAGAATTTGCCAAGGTATTTTCAGAAGAAGATATCCCATTGCTGGTCCATCGACCAGGATTGGACCATGAAATCCGTCTTAAAGAAGACTTCAAGCCTAAAAAGGCTACAGTATATCCTATGTCCCCTGATGAACTAAAGGTCCTAGACGAATTCCTTGACGAAAACCTCAAATGTAAAAAGATTTGACTATCAACATCGCCACAAGTGGCACCAGTGTTCTTCATAGCAAAGAAGGATGGGAAAAAGCGGTTGATTCAAGACTACTGCTATCTTAACTCATTCACCATTCAGGATGCTCACCCTTTGCCAAATGCGCAGGCTTTGTTTGATGAATTAGTTGAATTGAAATATTATGCCAAATTTGACATATGATGGGGATTCACTAACCTTCATGTAAAAGAAGGAGATGAGTGGAAAGGGGCATTTATCATGCCCAGAGGACTGTTTGAACCAACAGTAATGTTCTTCGGTCAGTGTAATTCACCACCTTCTTTTCAAAGGTATATGGACCAAACCTTCAAATCTCAAAGAGGAAAACAAGTTGGGTATATGGATGATGTAGCAATCCATGCCAAGACAAAGGAAGAACTTCGGGTTCACATCCGTGAATTCCTGAAGATCTGCAAAAAAGAAGGTCTATGCCTCAAGATCAGCAAATGTGTCTTCGAGGCCAAAGAAATAGAATTCCTAGGAATGATCATAGGCAGAGGGTGTATGGAGACTTTGCTGATGAAGACCGATGCCATCAGCACTTGGGAAGCCCCTGACACTCTTATGGGACTTCGTCGCTTCTTGGGTTTCTGTAACTTCTATTGCAAGTTCATCCCTTCCTTTTCAAGTATCACTCGCCCTCTTCACGACCTAACGAAGAAAGGAGTATCTTATCAGTGGACCTCCAAACACAATGCCACGTTCAAAAAGCTGAAGTCTTTGTTATGCTCAGCTCCAGTCCTCACCATCCTGGATTTCTCAAAACCCTTTGCATTGTTCACTGATGCTTCCAAACTTGGGACTGGTGCAGTCCTCGCTCAGTGAGGTTCTGATAATGAGTGGCACCCCTGCTCCTATCTTTCGCAATCCCTCGTTGGCGCTGAACAGCGTTACCAGGTTTATGACCTGGAAATGCTTGCCGTTATTCATGCTCTCAAGGCTTTCCACCTGTATCTCTTATCCCCTGTCAAACCGACTGTGGTTTTTACTGACCACAAAAATCTCGAGTACTATCGAGAACCCCAACAACTTATGCCCCATCAGGCTTGTTGGGCTGCAACTGTGCAATCCTATCCCATTTGTTTTTCTTGGCAGGCTGGTTGCCTCCAAGTCCCCACTGACACTCTTTCCCACAAGAGCGAAGCTGCAGAGCCTGCCCCAGTGGCCACGGTCCTTCCCCAGACCTTTGGCTTTCAGAGGGGGTGGGTCCCCAAATTTGCCTTGTTTCACCTTCCTTTTCTATCACAAAATTACAAAAACAGCTAAAAATTAACTGGCTTTCTCGCATTGGCCATCTCCCAACCCGACTCTCACATACAAAGTCAAACTCCAAGCCGTATTCCCGCCCAGCTGAGGAAACATCAAAAGGGAAAAGGCTACCTAATGCTCGCCCTCATGAGGAAATCAACAAAGGAGCTAGAGGAGTTTACACAATATCCATGGACCTGTATGAGTGCATCAAGAACAACATGTCAAAGGTCTTGACAGGTCCAGAACCATGGGAGAACATAGCCATAGCAGAGGATGGAACAAAAAGGTTTGGAACCACGCATTTATACATTCCCCCCGAGCATCGGCAACATTGTATGAGGATGTATCACGATCACGAGTCCTCAGGACACCCAGGTCAAAAGGCAATGTTCACCAAGATGAGAAAGGAAGTATGGTGGGAAGGTATGGGAAAAGACATTAAAGCTTACATCACAGGATGCCTGGTCTGCCAGATGACCAAGGTGGTAACGCATCCACCAACCCCACCAATTACCCCACACGAAACTCCCAAAACTGCATTCCCGTTCCAACAAATATCTATGGATCTTATCACTGATCTCCCAGTCTCGGGAGAACCTTCTTATGACTCTATTCTCACAGTTGTCAATCAGGGCCTAACAAAGGCTGCCCTGTTTGTTCCATGTCATAAAACTATTGACTCCGTCGGACTAGCCCAACTCTTCCATCAATTCATATATGCTCGATTTGGGCTCCCAGAGTCAGTTATCTCAGATTGCAGACCCCAGTTTGCATCATCGTTCACCAAGGAGCTCTACAAGGCAATAGGGGTCAAAACCAAGTTGTCTTCGGGATATCACCCTCAAACTAATGGAGAAAGTGAATGTGTCAATCAAGAAGTGGAAGGATATCTTCAACTCTACTGCTCTGAGTTCCCAAACTCGTGGGCTTCGAAACTTCCCTCTGCCGAGTTTGCCCACAACGCCTGAATACATTCCGTGCATCAAATGACTCCCTTTTCCCTTCTCCTTGGCTATGATCCATCCCCCTATCCAGAGGTCCGGCTCACCCCAGTACCTTCCATTGACGAAAGGCTGGAATGGCTGGCCTCAAGTCGAGACGTTGCCATACTTGCACATAAGAAGGCACAAGACCTGATGTGTTTGCACTCAAAAGGGTCTTATATTGCCCCTAAAGAAGGAGATCTGGTACTCCTGGATACCAGTCATCTATGCATCAAAAACCAGTGTGACAAGATTGCACCCTGACGTCTCGGACCATTCAAAGTGACTCACGTCATGTCACTGGTCGCCTTCCAGTTGGATCTCCCATCAACATGGAAAGTACACCCTGTGTTCCACGCCTCTTGGATCTTCCCATTTATTGAAAATAAGACATATGGTGCTGTGCCTGCAGCACCACTACCTGAATTAGTGGATGATGAGGTGGAATGGGAGGTCAAATCTATCTTTAATCATAAAACTGATGGTTGCAGGGGAAAGTGCAGGTATTTGGTCAAGTGGAAGGGATTCCCCCATTCGTCCAATATGTGGGAACCTGAGGAAAACATAAAAGAGCATGCCTCAGAAGCACTCAACCAATACAAACTTGCTCGACACCTGCAGAATTAAATGGACTCCCCTCGCTCCATCAACACCAAAAACAACTATGCAGACCTCCCCCTCGCCTCAGAATCTGTTCACAACACCTATGACAACAATGGGCTTGTTCCCCCCATCACTGTCTATGCCCCAACCTCACCTCCAACATCCCCCACCAGCTTTCATGTCTCCAGGTTCTCCTCGCCCGTCTCCCAATGTCATCCACTATCGCCCCCTGTTGCCAGGGCTCGAGGGCCACATCCACTCATGGGGTTCTCGGTCAGACATGTCCCAGCCCCCAAGGCCAGAGTCCCCCTCAGCAAGGACAGTAACCGCAAGGGAAAGGGTAAGGCATGACCTGGCAATGACCCCGATAGTCCAGCAGCCCCCTCCGGTAGTACCTATGCTACCGAATCTCCCCACCTACGCACCGCCTTTACCACCTACTCCGACGGCACTCAATGTGCAGCCCTTGACCTCCTCGCAACCGCTGCCTCTGCCAGGCTTGACCAGCAAAGATTACCAGTCTCAGCAGCTGACTACCTGGACATTGTTAGGGCACTTGACGTCTTCCACAATGGGGATGACATTGACGGGTGCTCACCAGAACAGGTTGCATATTTTGGGCTGTTGTCTGAAATCTACAGAGCATCAGACATGATTAATGGATTGGTATCTAAGGTCTGAACTCGGAAACTTGCTGGGACTGTGCCTCTCTCTGAGGTTGTCATGATCGACATGTTGGAGAAGGCTTCAGCAGATCTTACCAAAGCCATTACTGGGGGTGCGTATCATCACTTATGGCAGCAGCAGATAGGAGAGTTTCTGGCTCCACCCACTTCTCATCTTCTTGATCACATCAAGCCAAAGCAAGAGGAACCATCGGCATCAGCTGTTAAATTAAAAGAAGATATTTCGGATCAGGAGAAAGAGAAGCAGTGGCGTGCTGTTGAGTTAGGGTTCATCGACTCAGGAGACCTGTTTAAAGAGGTTGGTGCTCGACTTGGTACCAGGACTCATAACTCCACTTGGGAGGTCTTACTGCAGGATGCTTCGTGGGCTGGAATTCATAAAAGTTACCATAATGCTGTCCACTCTGCCAACCCTCTCCCTGCAGCTCCCTTCGTCCCTGTACCTCTTGATCAACTTTGGTTCTATCTCGGAGGCCAGTCTCCAGTCCCATGTGACCATGTCCTCTATCAACATGCCTGTTACCAATGCCGTTACTTGGGACATTGGTCATGCTGCAACAGACGTGGTTCCTGTTTTACTCTGGCCATCAAGGAACTGCCATCTCCATCACCTACAACAACCTCTTCCCCCATTGCCTCTTGCACATGTTCCCATGTGTATACTACTCGCCAACCCCTATCTGTTCATCCAGCCAACGCAACTTCCGGCCCGTCCTCAAGGGTCTGAGGACCTTAGAGGGAGGGTGATGTTATGCTTCCGTCAGGGGTCCTTCCTTTTTCAACTTCTCATGGTCACGTGCATCATGTGCCTCGTCACGTCCCTCATAATTGTCGCCATTCTAGGGGCTCGGATGCTCCAGGGAATGTTCAGATCTCCATCTGTCAAGGTATTTCCAATACCTGTTGAGACCACATTGCCACTGTGATCTGGTATTCCACCACCCTCTCTGATGGACAACTTGTTCATTTCTTGTTCTGATGACTCGCCTTTGACTCATTTATGTTGCTTACATGTTGTACTATAGCTCCAGTGTCAGGCTCCTCGCTGCACATTTGATTGCACCAGCCAGTACAGCCTTCGTTGTCCCCCCTACCCCATCATTGACACCGTATGACTCCTACTTATTTCATTGATGAGATTGTTGACTGCTGCAGATATGCATCATGACGTGTCACTCGCGACTGTTATGGTACTCATACTTAGGGGTATATAATCCTACATACTTCGTCCTGTATTGGCAGTTTTTCAATAGCTTGCAACTGAGCTTCATCCCTTCGCTCTTGTCCTCGTTTTCTCTCTGTGTGAACAACCTTAGGGACTTGCCAGTAGACAGAACCTCTGTCAGACAACTGCAATAACTCAGCCATAGGGGTTATGACAAGTTCGGCCCATAGACTCCCACCTCGCACACTTCATGCCTATTCCATTTGAAGAAGTCACCATGCTCGGGCATAACACTGGGTTACCATAGATATTTGTGAACTGTAATTCTTTTTGGGATTGCTGGACCTTTGACTGGTGGAATTAGAGTGACTTAGAATCAGTATATATGGTTGTGAACCTCAATGTCAAAGTGGATTGTCATAAATGTGATCTGGCTAGCCTCAAAAATTATGTCTCCAGCAACAATATGGACATTAGCCTACAAGAAAGAAATGGATGAATGGCTGAATTTGTGTGCTAAATAAACTAACCTTCTGTTTGTGTGATAGTGTAAATGTGTTTTCGAGTTGAATTTGCAGGTCTGCGAGAAGTTGTTGTGTGTTGCAGTGCACATTGGTCATTGCCCAGTTTTCCTTGATTAAGCTGAAAATGGCTGCAAGTAAGTATGAATGTGTAGCAATATCTGCTTTCTGGAGGCCATGCCCCATCTGCCAATGTATTAGTATTACGATTCTGTCACAAAGAGTTACCTGCCTTTGCAAAGCCATGGAGGTTATGCCATAGGTCCTGCTCGGAATCACCAAAACTAAACTGATTGGCAAGGGCATCAATAAAGTGAGCTGGGACAACATCTTCATCCAGAAGGGCAGGATCGATATTGGGATTGTTTTGAGCAGGGGGGAAGTGTGGGGTGGTGGATGGGGTATGGGTGAATGGGGTGGCGGATGGAGTAGGAAATGAATGACTACTAGACTGAGTAGATGGAGAGTTCCTGATATTAGAAAAATTGAAAGACATTGAGGGTCTTGGGTACAGTAGTAGAAATGAGTGGAGTGAGTTGACGGACTGGGGGAACCATGGAGGGCAGCTGAGTGAGTTTTTATGCACATTGGAACCAAGATAGGTGTCCACATGTTCATCCACATGTTTCCAACATGGACTGGTAGGATCATCAAAAGGCTGTACACATGCATAACAAGACATGATGGTTTGCACACCACATCCAAGAACAAGGCCCCTGCACTGGTTTCGCAAAGGTGTATCACAGTGCAACTCACAGTGATATGCTGACTAAGGAACACATGACCAGTAATATGAACAACACATCTATTAGACTTGGAGCATAATGGTAGCATCTACTATTTAATCAGCCTAATAGAATGCCCTGATGAGCTCGCCCAAGGTATTGTTTGGGTATTGTGTAGATTTTTTATTGTCTATCTCATGAGCACAACCCTCCATAATTGCATGATCTGTGCTGAGTGGAGTTAGGGGTTCACAAACTAGGGGCAGAATGTGCTTGGCATCATGCATTTTTGCAGTGTTTAGCACAAAATCATTTGGGTTTCCCTTGTGAACAATACTGGGGGAGGTATTGGATGTTCCCTGGTGAGCTGCAGCACAATTGTGGATATCACAACAATGCTGAAGGTTGACTGAGCACAGTAACTGCTACTTGAACTAAGTATCATGAATGGATAAATGTAGTAAACTTACCTCAATGGGGAGAAGTATATTGGTATCATCATACTGCACCAATGGCATCTGATAAGGTCTGGTGGACCCCTGTATTTTTCCTGACTGAAGAAAAATGGCATCTGGGGAAGATGTCATCTCTGCAGTTGACCCTCACCTTTGAATAATCTCCTTCACCTGTGCAACCAGAGGTTGCTGACCATTCTGTTGGTGAATGAGAACCCATTGGCCTGGAATGCATCTGTCCCCATTCATCAAGATCATAGACCTACATGTATGAAAATTATTGTCATGGAGTATTTCCTGGGAAAGGGAAGAGAGAGCTGTGGGGAATTGTTGGCCAGTCCTGGTTTCATGGTATGGATGCCAGGGCAGGTTGTCCTTTACACAAGATCCTGGCTTTGACAGAGAGGAGCTATCCATACCCAGATAATCTGTGATAATATTGGGTTTACTAACAAGTGTCAGCAGGGCTGTGCCTGCAGGCCACCAAACTCCAGCATCTCCAGCATTCAGGGCATCCAGAGGTGGCTTCTCAATCAGCTTCTTTATTTGAACTCCAAGGTTGGGGTGATTTGCATGGATGTGTAATGGAGCACCACTGAGAATGTGACGAATGCAGTTTCCATGAGCAAATGCCTTTGCAATGTCACATGATGGAGATTGTCAGTTTGAGTGAACACTTTTGGCATGGATGACTGCATTGAATGACTCAATCCTTCAGTGGCAAACAAGGCAGCAGGACCAAAATGATGGATATGCTCTGGAAGGTGGAGCAATATATGAAATTTGGGTTTGTTGAACCAGCAAGGTGTCCAGCATGCAGTGCGAGCAAGAAATTCTTGAATTGCAATTTCAAGTTGTGTCTGGCACATGAAATAAGTCTTAAACAAAAGGGGAAGTTCTATTCACTTACCAAGTGAGCATCAACATCTTCAATTTCTGGTTTCCAAATGAGGGGGATCATTTTTGATAATGCTACCCAGGCCTCATAGCATTCTTGTGGAACAAGTCCATGGAAAACAAATGGTGCAGCCTGTGCTATTGCACGAAAGTCATGGCCCACCAATGATCCAGCATACTGGACAAGGGTGTGACCAGACAGGGGCGGTATCCCTAGCCCTGTTGTATCAAATGAAGACAGGTGAGCTTCAAGAAGTTCACGCTTTATTTTGTTCTTGCCAACCCTGATGTTCACCACATCTCTCCAGAAATACTTGACAAATCCTAAAAGAACAGTGTGCAGCACCTCCACAGGAGTGTCTGCATGAGGATTAAGTCCTATGGGGTTGTGAGGATTTTTTTCTTTGTGTCACATGTCAAGCCATTCACCTTTGATGTGCCACACTGGGCTATACACATTCTCAGGAAGTCCCTTGATGAACACATCCAGTGCCTCCTGCTTTGAACTGCTTCCCTGCTGCCTCTTACATGATGCTGCCATCCCATTGATAAAGTATTTAAGATATGTGTCTTTCAATCCAGTTGATGTCATCTTCTCCTTGATTTTGGTTTGATTCCCTATGGTAGATGCCATTGTAAACATTGATTTGAGCTCAATTATTGACTGCTCTCACTGGTGAGGTTCACCAATCTTGGTTAAAATTTTAAGTAGTTGCCTAGACAGTCATATGTGCCCATACCTTCAGAAATTGCTTAATTCGAGAAACCATACCACTCATTGTCTCTTTCCCTTTTCCCTTCTTTCTACCACTAACTAACTCCCCCCCTGCACTCCTGACTGACCTCTGACCATCACTCTGTCCTCCATCACTCTGCTCCAGTGTTTCATCATTAGCATTTGTGTCCAAGTCTTGAGTGTCATGGCCTTTGACATTGCAAACATGACAGAAGTATTTTCCCCTCAACCCTACATGACAGGCAAGCTCACTTTGCATTGGATTGTCCCCCAACAGGGCTAAGACAGAGGGAATCATTAACACTTGTTCCTTGTGTACACAATCCCATGCCCATACACCTGTCTCTTGAGCAGCCCTAGAAAATATGTATAAATCAGAGTGAATACCAAAAATAACATAAACTTACTCAAGCTGATTTACAAAACCATCCAACATTTCAAGGGGTGGTGCAACATTAGATGTGCATAGGAAGTGAACATTGTATTCCTGATGCACTGCAGCATGTGGCAAGCCAGCTGGTGTGAACAGGAATGAATGGTGCTTGTTCCAACATTTTGATACATTCCCTGAAGTATCATCACAGTAAAGCCAGATTGGAAAACCATAGACATAAGCTCCATTTGCAAGCACATGCCAATGATTTCCCTCATGTGGGTTTGTGAGTGTCCATGGTTCCAACAACAGTCCAGCCTGATGACTATTTTCAATTCCTAGTTGTTTTGAGTAGGACAAATGTAGTAGTAAAAGAAACATACCTAAGATATTGTGTGCAGGAGGGAGAACAGATGTTGATTGACTGATATTCCAATTCTTGAATGATACCAGTAAGTTTCTTTCTGAGATTTCAATCTCTGTGTGCCCCTCAACTATCCAACCACTTCCTGTGTCATTAACAACAGCATGAAGAGACCATGCCTTGGCAAAAAAAAGCCCTCCACATTTAAACCACCTTATAGGCATGCAAACCTGCCCATTTGACAAAAGGGCTGGCTCAAATATGAAAAAATCTTGACCATGAAGGCGAATCATAGGAGTCAGCTGTGTTGGATCCATTTCTTTTAACCACCTTCTGGCCTGGTATGCCTCATTCAACTGTCCCCCTGAATTTTCTGGGTAGAAGTGAAGTTGTGGTCAAATATGTGGGTTAGCCATCTCCTATATTATCATAATCAGTATTTGTCAGTTATGGCAATGAACCACCAACCTGCCTGATAATGTCTGAAAATGAATTCATACAATATTGGTGCCCAAAAGCACCAGTGAAAGGCAAAGTTTCAATACCACAGATTTTTTGAAGGCCATCTTCAAGAGTCTTCATTGTTCTAACAGATGGTACATCTTGAATGCCATTGATGTGTAGTAGCCACATCAAGAGATCAAGTTGATGCTGTGAGAAGACAGAGTGAGGGATGTGCATCAAGATATCTATTGTACAAGACTGGAGTATTATTAGTGAATGTCAGTCCTCTCTGTTAATAGCTGCATACCAATTTGTTTGGCCATGGAAACCACTCATTTCCCTCAGAAGTAGTCATCCATCCATCAGATTTCATTCCAGTATCCCCTTCTAAAATTCAGGTCAAAAATCACAAATTTGACATTAGCAGTAGTAACCCATACCATTTCCAGTCCCCATAAACATATTCACCTCTGATTCACTATCCAGTGTCTCCCCATCTTGCTCCCCTGGTCCCTCTTCATCTGATAATTTATCCTCATCAAGTAAGCTAGAAAGAGCTGCTGCAATTTGGGCATGGCTCTTCTCAAGAAGAGACCCCTGAAACTGAACCCCCCCCTCACCAAAGTCTGCACCAATGTATTCCCCAAAGCCATCCTCCACATTAGGGACAGATATCTCCTCAAGAATAAGGCCAATACCATGCATGGATTGATCATGGGTACTGGGGAACTTTTCACCATCACCTGGTACACAGCCCCCTGCATCAAAAGCTCCCTGGTGCTTAGAACAATGATACTGAACAGAGCTCAAATGTGTCTGTGTTTTTTCATGCCTCCTTGCATGGTCTCTTGAGTGGACTTTGTTGTCCCAGCATGCCAAGCATGTCCATCCATTTATTTCCAACTTGCCTCCACCCTTTGAAAAGAATTCAGCACAAAAATACAGGGGACACTGTGATGACCTACATTCTGCTGTCTCAGCACTAGGAAATGAGTGTTCAACCATCAATAATACTTCCCCTGGAACACTCAAGATCAAGTGACTGCTGATGACCTGAGAGTCATATCTACAGTAGATAAGCTTGCTTACTGTCCCACAATGAATGTCAATGGTTACTGTGGGGTAGGCAGTATGGCTGTGACTGAATGTATTAGGCACAAGTAATTGACAATCAGCAGTAATTGTATACACACTTAAGTGTAGGTAGGTGCCAATAATATTGTGATCAGGAGGGGCCTGTCAAGTTGTTGTGGGCCCAGAGATGTAGTAATCATGATAAGCGATGCTTACCCAATCTACGGTACACAGATCCTGGTGCCAAAGCCCAACAGGTGTATGCACCGATGTTTGTCAGCTGTCTTGCGGGATATACTGTGGATGATGTCTGGATGACCGCTGGATGAATGTCAGATAATGCAGGTTCAATCTCCAAGTCGAAAAGTAGATTAGATGTACATACGCACCACTGATACACACAAGGGTGGTTGGCGGCCTCCTCGCTGGATGCAGCCTGGGTGATGTGCAGATGATTGCTGGACGAAATCCAGACAGTGCAGGTTTGATCTCCGAGTTGAACAGTGGATGGGATGTACACACTATCTGTGTGAGACAGCGCGACGTACGTAGGTCACTATCAGTATTAGGATACTCCATCTGGGAGGCCGTACCTGGGTTGTCCAGGATTCAAACCCAGGGTGAACTTGATTTTCTTCATCGGACATCTATCAGCTTGTGCTATCAAGTTACGCCTATCACGCTAAATACAAGTCCTAGTATTACGCTCGTGCCAGTCATGGCAATCCAGTAGCTACGAGAGCATTTGATTCACATTTATCTGACTTTGAAATCGCAGTTAAAAGGGGTGGGTTCAACCTGTGGCCATCCGACTCGCATTGCCGTGTAGTCGTGCCGTAGCGTGATGAATGGTCGAATACGGGCGTGTATGTGCCAAACTTCAATTAACAGACTCGTTTACTGTAATTCTCGATTTTGGGTATCATCACCCTACGGTACATCCTGAAGCAAGCCTGGTCGCAGTCCAGACTTCGGCAATTTGAATTTCGCAATTGGGTTGTTCCTACAACTAACTGTAACACGATGCTGGTGTCCAAACCGGAACTAAATAAACAGTAGTGCATCATGTACAGATCAATTCAATCAAGGCAGAAGAATAACTGCCACGTGCAGTGTATAAGGAATGGAGTGCTCGTAACTGTATAGATGAGCAGTTAAATAGATAAGGCACCGTATAAACTGAGTGTATATGTAGAGAGAGATCGTCTGCAGTTGGATGAAGGGTACAGTGGCCAGTGTTCTTGAACAAGCGCATGAACGAACAAATGGAACGGGTATGATGATCCATCCAGTCCAGTTTGTTTATCCCAATGGTTTCTGGGGGATCAAAATCTCTCCCCACGGCCACGAGATGTCACATCGAAGTATATATCGTCACGTCGTAGGAGGTTAGAGAACAAGAACGTATCCCACCAGAAGAGTTACGAACGCGGCCAGGGATGCCGAGAGACGTTTATGAGACGACAATGCGCTCGAGGTCGTTGGAGTTGGGAACGGAAGACCGTTTGTACCGGTAATAGAAGCTGGGTTGGCGCCAGAGGAACCTGTAACACGAGAAAGTTCTAAGGCACTCACCAAACGGAAGCTGAACACGTACCACTTGGACTCGTGTCTAACCCGCTCGCAAGCGCCGCGAAACCCACGGAGGCTGGGTTAGCCCGAAATACGGTGTAAACATTCTTGAGAAAGGTATCTCCCACGACCCATGAAGGAACTCCCGAGCCGGTGCCAACGGTGCTTCCGATGTCGAAGATACCTCCTACACACATCGGCGTACCAGCCGAGTTGGTGCCGAATTCGCCCAGGTTCATGTCATCAGAGCTCATAGGCCAGTCTGTGCCACCGAATGAGATGGAAACAGTCACACTCGTGGTACATGCTACGTGCGGGGAGAATCAGAGAACAAAAGACGGAGAGCAGACGGAAATGCGTACGGAAAGCATACATGCCAGCATACTGGCCAGAGAGGGCTTCTGCACCGGACACAGCAGCCCAAATATCTGACACAATGGAAGTTGGAGCGCCGATGAGGGTTGTTCCCGTGTCAATGGCAGCAAGACCTTGGCTGGACGATATTTGAAGGGTCTTGCCCTGGACCGTAATAGCTACAAATATGTATATAGCAGCGACCCTTCGAATGCGCGCTGACTCCCGAAAACTTACTGCTGACTTGTTGAAACCAATAAGAAGGTGTCGACCCACTAGGCATATCGATATACTCGATGTTACCGGTGTAAAGACTGGTGTTAGTTCCACCAAGGGTGAGAGAGCCACCCGGTGCGTCTGTTATTACAGTGGAAGAAGTCACCCATCGTTCGAGGTAGAAACCGAAGAGAGGTTCTGCCAACATATTTGAATTGTACAGTGTTTCCCAGAAGGGTGACGTTTGGAGGGAAGAAATGGGTTGGAAACCGAGACCGATGATGCCCGAAACACCAGGCGCGAGCAGGTTGTCAACGACGGTTGTAGCTGACACTGAAAAAGAACGTCTCAGACGTTGGGAGAGTCGGCGACAGGTAATGAAAGTGACGTACTGAACACTTGGCCCGGTACAGAGAACCCACCGAAGCCGACTGAATCTTGGGCGGCGGTGCCCTTGACCGAGCCAGATCCATAAGTGATTGTTAGTTGCGAGTTAGAGACCTTGTAAGTCGATGACTTGGAGGGGTCAAAGGTAGTCATGTCCGATGTGCAGGCGGTACATGACGTCGTAACGACCCAGAGGTCCGCTGATCCTGTGTATGGCAGGAATAAGAAAGGGGTCAGATTGGGTATGGAGGGAGAAAAAGACTAACCGGTATCGAGAATGACCTGAAAGGTTTGTGGCCTAGAGAAGTTAATGAGGACCAGATAGTTGTGTTCGTGAGTGATACGCACGGCGTTCCTATAGTGATTTCTCCGGAGTAGCTGGAGTCGTTTTGCTAAAAAAAGACGCCGGTGGATTATCCATGGCGAGGGATCAAAAGAAGGGGAGTCGGCGCACCTCGTCGGTGATAGGTATAGAAGCTGAGTTTCCTGCTCTCTTCTTGGTGGTCGACCCGATGCCGTATTTTCCTTTGAGGGCTGCAAGTGCCTTTGGGAGGTCTTCGACATTGTGGGGGTTGCGTCTGAGAAGAGGGACGTGGATGGTGTCGGGGCTAGGTTGGGGCTGAGGAGCTGCCAGCACAAAAGGAAAGACAGACAAAACGAAGAGCACCGCGAAGGGGATCATCGTCGGGAGGGAAGGAAAGGACTGGCTAGCACGGATGTGGTTACTTTTTGTTTTATAATATGGTCGACAGAGGCCATTGACGTCGTACCTTGATCGTGGCAACGTCTTGGCTGTACAGCCAGATTCAAGACAAGGCTTAGTCTGGATTACAACAACGTCCATGAAAAGATCATCACAGGAGCTACTGGCATCACAGCCCAAGAAACCGAAGGTGTCCTCCGATCGTCAGACAGATGGCGAACCCAACGAATGGAGCCGCGTAGAGAAACGCAAGGCTAAGAAAGCCAGAAAGATCGATGCAAAACACGAAGTGTGTATGTCCGCCCATTCCCATGCATTTTTAATTGTCGGTTCCCCTCAGGCGTTGGTGCCAAGATTCCTGTATGTGAATGGCGAAATCGTAAAGAGAAGAGATGCTATACACATCGACGTATGTCTCTGCATCCTCGTTCCATCCCGTCTTGACCCCCTGCATCCGTAGGACGTCAGAGACTTGGTCCTGCACATCATCGCAGACGCACCACCCCCAAACTGGGCCAAGGTAGAGGTACATGCCACCACATCCCGTCTTGCTTCAACAGCGTTGACTTCTCCCGTTAGAATGCGCGGTCAATACAAAGAGTCGTTGTCCTCCTCGTACCAGGAATTCTACCCTCCTTCTTGTGTCTTCCCCCGCTCCCAACGTCAGCAACCGCCAATCCTAACATACCTCTGGCCATACCCCTCCCATCGGAGTCACATACTCCTATCCCATTCATCGCATCCACCTTTAGTCATGCTTGTCCGACACGTGCACCAGGGGACCAAACCAGAATGTATTCCGTCCTCGGCGCGTTTTTCCAAGGTCCCGTAAGCAGCGAGGAGAAACGCAAACGGATCGAAGCTCGCTTAGCGTGTATGTCCCTCTCTTCATATCCTTGCAGCATCTCATGTCCCTATCTGCAGCAGAACG